ATGAAACGGAGAGAATGAATGAAACGTAGAGAGAAGGACTGAAACAGAGAGAGAATGAATGAGATAGAAAAGGAATGAAACAGCGATAGAATGAATGAAACGGAGAGAGAATGAATGAAACGGAGAGAGAATGAATGAAACGGAGAGAATGAGTGAAACGGAGAGAATGAATGAGACGGAGATAGAGAATGAATGAAACGGCGATAGAGAATGAATGAAACGGGAATAGAATGAATGAAACGGCGACAGAACGAATGAAACGGAGAGAATGAAACGGAGAGAGAATTAATGAGATAGAGAATGAATGAAACGGAGAGAATGAATGAAACAGCGATAGAACGAATTAAACGGCGATAGAATGAATGAAACGGCTATAGAATGAGTTGAATATGGCGTAGACGATTAATGTAAATTAGTTAGAACGTGAAGGTATATGGTAACATCAAACGTTATTACGTCTTTGTGATGAATGAGTGTGGAATGAGGAATGGTGTGTGTGTGTGTGTGTGTGTATATATATGTGTATGTATGTGTGTGTGTGTGTGTGTGTGTAATATGCCCGTGTACGTGGTTATTTGCGTGTCTGTATGAGTAGTGTGTTTGTGTGTGTCAACAGAGAAGCACCCGAGACCAACTTGTGTTCACATACCCCCTCCTCCCCCCTCCCCCTCCAAGTTGTGATCTCATATTTAAAGTACACGTCTGGACATCATTATTCATAACACTAATATTGACGTATGAGAAAATTACCAATTCTGTTTTGACTTTTTTTGGCTACGTAAAAAAAAAGAAAAAATAATTCTTGTGTGTCATAAAGAAAATTGATAGATGAGTTTTTTTATTGCTCAAAATTGGATCATTCATCAAAACTTACCGAAACAGAAGACGATCACTCTTACCGCCAACAAACTATGGTACTAGAATATTTTACCTGGGATTTTATTTGTTATTGATTATTTAATTCCCTTTTATGCGATTTTTTAATATAATACATACATACATACATACATACATACATACATACATACATACATACATTACTTACATACATACATACATACATACATACATACATATATATTACAGGTAAACGATTTCCAAGGTATACAATGCAGTTATACAAAAAATGGTAAAGAGTGAGTAATTGGACCCAAGGATCGACAGTAAAAGCCATCAGATCCTGTTTCCCAGTTGAGGTGTTTCATAAGTACACCAAAAGCAGAATTATAAGCGACAGTCGTGGGGAAAATGCACAACAATTCGCCAGGTAAATGTCCACTAAGAAAAATTAAATATAACTCCATTCATATAAGCTAAATATAATTCGTCAGTGATAAAAAAAATATATCTATAAAAAAGAAGTTTGGTAGATGAATATACTCAGTGTGGTGGTGTGTGTAGCTTGATCAGTGTTGTGTAGCAGTGCGGTGAGGGGCGATGCAACTTTCTGGGGTGTAACTAACTCCGTGTTCAATCACTGTTTAAAACCAAGAGAGGAATATTGATGCAAGACTCTATAGTACACGGTATTAAAGCTGCTATCCCTCTGAGTGTACTAACTAGAAGGTAGTAGTAGTACCAACCAGCCCCGATACAGTACTTAATTTAAGAACATTTTGCTTCGTATCATCGATCAATGTGTTAGGCTACGGAGATTCTTGCCAGCGCAGCATATTTAGTTTCCAAAGGCTGTACTATAAAATGTGAACATGTCGCTGAATTATACTGTTTCTCCCTGTTCAAGATATATTTAAATCATTCGAATCCTCATCCCCAGAGAAGCTTGATATCTTATGTGTATTGTCTAACGGGATATTTCTCACATAACCACCTAGGCTTTTTTACACATAGAAAGTCTTCTACGTTCAGGTTACCTTGTACACACTAGTCTACAGCGTTTACCACTTGGCAGTTTTGAGGAAAATCGCAGCAGGTTTGGTTAGATTAGGTTAAGAAACAGTATGTGCAGTGTTTACTTGGTGCGCTGCCTAACATGACAGACTGCGTCACTTAAAGTTCTTCAGTGTGAGAAGGCAAAATAATAAACTTGCCGGCGGAAAAAAAAAAATCTCACCAATATTTTAATCGATATTTTGCATGAATTGATTATATGGCATAAAAAAATCACAATTCATGATATGATAGATTTTTATGAGATAAGTTACGAGATATTTTAAATCAAACTCAACAACAAGCAATGAATTAGACAAAGGTTTAACACCCGGAATGGTTTAATAATTTTGTGACTGCGAATGAAAAAAAAAATATGCATTAAATTTTATATATGTCTGGTAAATGAACAGTCTAATGCTACTGTTTATAACTGTGAAGAAACAGCGGAAGCAGATATTACTGGTTATAAAAATTAATCCATTTACTCTCCGAGTTGAGAAGTATATACTGCTCAACAACGGTGATTCCTGAAACTAGCTAAAGCTGCTTAGAAGAATGTTATCATATAGATCTATTATGTGTATGTGTGTGTGTGTGTGTGTGTGTGTGTGTGTGTGTGTGTGTGTGTGTGTGTGTGTGTGTGTGTGTGTTCGTTTAAGGACACGACAAGGTCAAGCTGTACATAACAAAAAGTTCCAACTCCCAACCTTGACAGCGATTGTACTGTAGTTTTTTTTGTCTTAGTCTGTGTTTGTGATCCCAAATAACCTGACAAGGACTATATCAATACTTGGCTGTGGTGTACCAGAAAAAATGCGAAAGTTGGTCCCATAGGCAAGACAACCCGCTAGGAGACACCATAGATACTGGGGTCTTGGTGATACGGCGGGGCGGAGTGTGGAAGCCGGCACTTCACGCGAACCACCACCGTCAAGACAGATTTTGCCTTTAAATATTAATCATCCAGTTTACGGTAATATAAATGTATGATTAAAACAATTAATTTAAGTGACGTTTTCACCAATGTAATGATCACAAAAATATGAAACTGTGTTCACCAAGGCGAGTATAGCGTTCTTACTTGGGTGAGCATTTCTATCACATAAATCAGAAGAAGAAAAAAATATTTAAAGATAACAGTTTACACAAAGAAAAAATTATCTCCTTTTTTGGGGGTATTCTCATTTTCATACTAAAACACCATAACTCTTATACATTCACCATGATGTCAACATTAGCTCTTCCAAATGTGTTGTTGAGAGAAATGTTATGATGTGTGTTGACGAATGTTGAAAAAAACGTTGGTTGGGGGAACATTATTTTTGTGGTAACAGAGAGAGGACATTGTTCTACCCACAGCTGCAGGACTATAAATATGTGATGTGTTTTAAGCCTTCATGTGTGTGTGTGTGTGTGTGTGTGTGTGTGTGTGTGTGTGTGTGTGTGTGTGTGTGTGTGTGTGTGTGTGTGTGTGTGTGTGTGTGTGTGTGTATGTGTGTGTGTGTGTGTGTGTGTGTGTCTGTGTTTGGTGTGTCTGTATTTGCTGTCTGTCTGTCTGTGTCTATGTTTGGTGTGTGTGTGTGTACCTATGTGACAGTATGTGCGTGTGATGTCTGTGTGTAGGTTTGTGTACATGGTGCTTAGACTGCACATATATGTGTGTGTGTGTGTGTGTCGTATTTCTTGGCGGTAACAGAGTTCATAGTGGTTATGGAGTGCGTCTAAATGATGGGCGGGGTGTGGTAGTTAAGGCTGTGTTTGGTTAGAGTGGTAGTTAAGGCTGTGTTTGGTTAGGTGGTAGTTAAGGCTGTTTGGTTAGAGTGGTAGTTAAGGCTGTGTTTGGTAGAGTGGTAGTTAAGGCTGTGTTTGGTTAGAGTGGTAGTTAAGGCTGTGTTTGGTTAGAGTGGTAGTTAAGGCTGTGTTTGGTTAGAGTGGTAGTTAAGGCTGTTTGGTTAGAGTGGTAGTTAAGGCTGTGTTTGGTTGGTAGTTAAAGGCTGTGTTTGGTTAGAGTGGTAGTTAAGGCTGTGTTTGGTTAGAGTGGTAGTTAAGGCTGTGTTTGGTTAGAGTGGTAGTTAAGCTGTGTTTGGTTAGAGTTGTAGTTAAGGCTGTGTTTGGTTAGAGTGGTAGTTAAGGCTGTGTTTGGTTAGAGTGGTAGTTAAGGCTGCGCTTGGTGAGAGTGGTAGTTAAGGCTGTGCTTGGTTAGAGTGGTAGTTAAGGCTGTGTTTGGTTAGAGTGGTAGTTAAGGCTGTGTTTGGTTAGAGTGGTAGTTAAGGCTGTTTGGTTAGAGTGGTAGTTAAGGCTGTGTTTGGTGAGAGTGGTAGTTAAGGCTGTGCTTGGTTAGAGTGGTAGTTAAGGCTGTGTTTGGTTAGAGTGGTAGTTAAGGCTGTGTTTGGTTAGAGTGGTAGTTAAGGCTGTTTGGTTAGAGTGGTAGTTAAGGCTGTGCTTGGTGAGAGCGGTAGTTAAGGCTGTGCTTGGTTAGAGTGGTAGTTAAGGCTGTGTTTGGTTAGAGTGGTAGTTAAGGCTGTGCTTGGTGAGAGTGGTAGTTAAGGCTGTTTGGTTAGAGTGGTAGTTAAGGCTGTGTTTGTTTAGTGTGGTAGTTTTTATAAGTTAAGGCTGTGTTTGGGTGGCGTGGGTGGTGGGTACTATACAGTATGTTTGGGTGGCGTGGGTGGTGGGTGGCTGCGTGGGTGGCAGGACCTAGTGTTACAGTAGCGAGGACGGCGGTGGAGCGGCGTTCCAGGTTGAACAACTCTCCGGATCTATTTTTAGAATCTTTTCCTATTGGAACATTTTCGACGCTGGGTTTTGTTTTCCATGACCCTAATGTCACCCCTGCTTCAGCCCCATGACGTCAGAACCTTCTACAAGACCGAATTCTCTGAACGAAGTAGATTTCTGATCTAGAGCGGATCGCTGATTGGTGAAGCTATTTGACGTCAAAACGTCCCGCGCTCCCATTGGCGGGTGAAGCGCGTAGTAATCAATAGTTACCGGAGGCTCAGCCAATCACTGCACCCTGAATAGATGAAAGAAAGTGTGAATCGGGTGCGTAGGAGGATGTTGTCTGCGCAGTGGTGAGGGATATATAAGGGAGGAAGAGCGAGGAGCGTTCACTCAAGCTGGTAGAGCGACAAGGAAGTGAACCACGAGAGAAGAGAAGAGACGAGAGAAGGACAAGACAGCCAACAGCCACAACTCGGCATCTCGCAACCTTGTGTGAAAACCTGATTTGAGGAACTTATAAAAAAAAAGTATTAATTAACGAAGTGAGGAAGTTTATCATAAAGAGTGATATATATTGGAAGGCGGATCCGAGCTTGTGAACTAGTTAAATCAAAGGTAAGATACACGACTATACTTGTGGTGTGTGTGTGTGTGTGTGTGTGTGCGCTGTGTGTATTTTAGGAGACTTCAACGCTGTCTGAGGCTAGTTGATGGGCTGTTCTTGAGGTCTTGGCTGAGGGAATATATACATTCTAATATACACTTTTAATAACACATGGAGATACTGTATACACAACCTTCACTACTCAAATGACTCAACTTATAACCGATGTAAAATAAAGAATAATTTTAAACTCCATCTATCACGTATAAGTTTAAAGTGAAAATCTTTAGCATAGCTTTAAATATTACTCAAAATAACAATGTTCTGTTGATGACTTCCCCCAACGGTTGGCTGTATCAGAGGAAGACTTGACCTTTGTAACCAACCACCACCACCACACAGCTGATCTATATATAGCGTGACTAACAGTTCCCTTTAAAGGTCCGAGCAGCTAAATCGGGAGTGGTCCTTCATGATTGATCCCCCACCTGCCCCGCCTCTCCAGGTGTGAGGGGGAGGGGACGGGGTTAGTGACGACGGGCCTGGTAACAAGTCGTTCTTTGGGATAATTTCGTAGACATGTTCGATATTTGATGTGATCAGAAGACGCGATTTGTTGTTTTGGTAATTTTGTCTCTTCAGAGTTCTAAAAAAAATAAGAACATCAGTTTTTATATATATTTAGCATAACCAACGTGTCTCTTACCGGTGTATTTAATGTAAGAACTTTAAAGTTGGTTGATATAAGTTGCGTGACTTATCAGAACCACCGGGAGAAGCTTGTCTTTACCTCTGACTCATTAACAGCCTGTCACTCACTCACCTGACCTGCCGCACGCAACACCCCACGCCGGGAGAAAAGTGCTAAGCCACGTTTTCAACAGAGGTCAGTTAATCAATCGTCAGCCATGAGAATTTGATCCTTAACTACCTTGTCGTGAAAAACTGTGGTCGTCGCCAGGATCGTGTTATGTCGCGTGTCACTCCTGCTTTTACCACCAATATTTAATACTCTCGTGGGGACCCAGACAACGAAAAACAGCCTCTAATGTCCTTCTAGGCGGCGACAGGGATTATATTTAGGCTTAATCGGAAGAAAATATTGATTTACCAACCAAGGTGACGGCTATTTCTCGCCCCGGAGTCACATTTGTCACCGTGTCTCTCTCCGACTAATGTTGGGGCGGCCATATTGTATGTTTACCAGTGATTTTCTTTAACCAATATAATGCGCAGAAAATGTGTGTTGATATCGATGATGTTGTCAGTTATAGCAGTTTATGTTGTCATTTTAAATAAGTACATGCACTTTTACCGGGGCTACATGTAACAATTCAAAAGAGAGATATATAACAGCCTCAATAACAAGACACTGGTGGTTATGACACAGAGTTAACAGCGCTATTATGATTCTCTCACAGATGGAGACCACGAAGGTGCTGACGTCTCTGCTGGTGCTGACCCTGACGGGGCCCACCCTCGGCTACCCCTACACCAGGGGCGTAGTCTCAAGGACGAGTGGGCGTAGTCGAGACCAGTTTCTGGATGGAGGCCTGGGGGACTATCTGATGGGGTACACGGACGACGAGCAGTACGCCCTCCCCCAATACGAACCCAACAAACGCTACGCATTCGCCGCCCAACGACCCAGAATAAACCCTGTAAGTGAGCGAGACATTGAGTAATCACGTTACAATCGCTACAGTTAGTCTAAAAATAACTATAAATATTTCAACCACACCAACTTGTCTAAAATAGTGATTATTTGTTATATTTTGGTTATACTTTCAGGAGACTCTGGCCGCGTTTCTTCCCATCTTGGCTGATGCTAATAATGATGACGACTACGTGTACGACTACAACACGTACTCCGACGACGATGGTACCTGGTACGAGAACACCGCCAATGGTGAAACTGTCGAGGACAACCTCCTGCCAGTACTCCTCCAGCGTCGTACATCCAGGTGAGAAAAAACCTCCTCCTCCTCGTCCTCTCTCTCTACCTGTAGCCTAACACACATTGACAAACGATAATTATTCCTCGTGAACTTTATTTGAGAATTGAAGAGTAGTCCATCCCGCCCCAGGTACTCCATGGACGACCTAGAGACCCTGGAACGCAAAGCTGCCATGGAGGACAACACAGAGAACCAGCTGTACGCCCTCATGGCCAACAAGGTGAGGCAACCAACATCTTTTTCACTGGTAACATTTTCCATCAACTTTTGCTATTAATAAACCATAAAATTATCATTCTTCACTAACGTTTCAACATTTTGTCTCCTCTTTCAGCAACAGAACTTGAAGAGAACCAGCATCCCCTTGTTGGGAAGCCGTGTTGCCGTCCCCCCCAGACTCCTGAGGAAGGGACAGAAGGAGGAAGCCTATGATATCCCTGCTACCTCCGTCAGACGCCCAGTATTTGCCCGTACAGTCACCACCCAGCCTGAGGAGCAGGTACATACACACACACCTGTCATTCTTAAACACAGTCATTAGTACCTTAACTCCTATACCTCAACAATATATCTTACAACAGCTTTAGAAATAGAACAAAATAATACCCAAACCTTAATGTCCTTATCAACAGACCGAGACACAGTCCATCAACAAGAACGACAACAACAGCAACACACAGAAACCTGAAGAGACTAAGAAGGACTCAAGTGACAGCAGCAGTACCACCACCACCACCACCACCAACCACAACAATGTCCTCAGCAGTAGCAGTAGTAACATCAATGAGGTACTGCCACCAGTTGAGACAGCGACCATGTCCCCGTATATTTCCGAGCGGCACGAGGCCTTCAAGAACTACCTGGACACCGAGAGGAAAGTCCGACAGGTAAGCTTGATAATTACTCTGGTGTGTTACCTGTGTTGTATGTGTGAGAGAGAAAGAGAGAGAAAGAAAGATATAACAAGTGAGACAGTAAACCTGAGAAAGTGTGAGAGGAGAAAAACACACATATACAGTACACACACACACACACATATACAGTACACACACACACACACACACACACACAACAAGGAGATAACGGGAGAACAGGGATATAACAATAAGATAACAGGAGAAAACGGAGATAACAGGGATATAACAGGAGAACAAGGGTATAACAGAACAAGGATAAAACAGTTAAGATAACAGAGATAACAGAAGGAGTTAACAGAACAGGGATATAACAGAACAAGGATAAAATAGTTAGGATAACAGATATAACAGGAGAAGAAGGAGATAACAGAGGAGAAGGTAGGAGAAGTAACGTTAGTGGTTATAATGTGGCTGGACTCACCAAACCCAGGGGAGCGTGGTGTGCCTCCTAGCAACTGGCTCTCTCTCTCTCTCTCTCTCTCTCTCTCTCTCTCTCTCTCTCTCTCTCTCTTCTACCCATTTCTCTTCCCTTTTTTTATCCCTCTTAATTCTCTTTATCCTTCGGGGTTTTTTCCTTCTCCGCCTCTTATTCCAACCTTCCTCCTTTCACACACACATTGTCTTATCGTGTATCTTTCCTTCATTCGTATATCTTATCTATGTTATTTCCTTCTTTATTCTTCTATCTTCCGTCAACGTATATAATTCTCGTTCGCAGTTCAATAAAATGTCTAATAACTGTCATTCTAAACAAAACAGAAAAAAAAATCCCTCAATATTAAAATCCTCCTTATGTCTCCCACATCTAAAAGTGATTATTGCATTACATGAAACTATTCTGGCTTAACTACACTTTAAATAACTCTTACATCATGTTTTGTTCATCGAGGAAAGAATTTGGAAGAGTTGAGAAATAACGAGTAAATACCCAAAGAATTAGATTTTAGAATAAGGATAAGTTGAGAAATATGTAAATAATTATCAAAAGAATCCAATTTTAGTCCTAGTCTAATATGGTGCAATCAAATATCACCATTAAGACTAGTAGCGATAGATCTCTAAATCCCGCGAGGTGGTATAAAGGGCTGGAGTGTAGGACAGAGGAGGTGTGTGTGTGTGTGTGTGTGTGTGTGTGTGTGTGTAGGGTTAAAGGCAAGGCGACCGTGTAGTGCCTGGTGACAAGGGTGAGGCTGGTGTGGAGGGAGGCGGCGGCGCGTGGGCGGGCGTTCAGCTTATTGATCCAGTGTATCATAGTGCAGCTCCTGGCGCCGCCCTCCACCACCATCACCACTACTACCACCATCACCACCACACACCACCACACATTTGCACTTCTCTGTTATTATTGTCTAATTTGAGTTCAAACTAATTCACTTATGACATGATACTCTTACCCTCCCCTCTCTAAAATCACCAGAAATATTTAATTTGCACACCATAATTACGACATAAAAATAAGCGTCTTCTTGCCATTATGTTAAAAAAAAAATATGTAAAATTAAAATTCACAAAAAAATGAGTGAAGGGAGGAGAGAGGGAGGGAGGGAGGGCAGGCAGCAACAGTGGCAGGGAACAACAGAGAGGTCCACCAACACCTTGTAAATAGAAATGTTTCCATAGAGACCCGGCGACACACTGTTGTTAACACACACACACACGGGCTCACGCTTCACCCTACCACCTCCCCTTACCCCCAACACCCCCTACCCCACCACCACCCCCTACCCCACCACCACTATCCATTAACCACTCTTCCATTTGTTTTGTTTTCAGTCTTCTTGTTATTTCACTATACTCAGATGTTATTATACTTTGTTAAATAATTCCCATGGAGTTCAGGTTTAAGGTAGCCAAGCTCGGTGAAAACGCTCGGTCATTTATTTCGGTAAAGGCAATACACGTCCCTCCCACGCCCGACACACACAAGTTGCCAAACATCGCTTTGGGTGCAGATGGGCTCACTCCCACGCACACAATGTTAAAGCTGAACCACCTCCCCCTGTCTCTCCTGCCCTTGCTCTCCTCCACGCTGTCTGTGACCTGGCTTCTCCCATTCATCCAAATATATCTGGCAAAAACTTTCTCTTAATACGACTCATCATCAATACCTTGTTCGCGTTGGCTTAAGTCTCCTCGAAAAACCAGCTTTTGGAAGGATTCAATTCCCAAAGGTTCTGTTACCATGGAGACGAAAACTAAGCAACCTGTTGGGGGTCCTATGTGGGTGGTAGAGGCTGCCAAGTACTACCATCACCCTTTACCCCCACCTTCTGTTTCCCTCTACACTCACGCCCTATGGTAAAGACTTGAAAGACATAACCTACATATATATATATATATATATATATATATATATATATATATATATATATATATATATATATATATATATATATATATATATATATACTCCTTTGATGACCGTCAATTCCAATATTGTCCCAATAACTGATAAAGTCAGAGTAGGTTGTGTTGGTAGTGCTGGAGCCGCCCACACCAGGGAACTTAAAGAGAGATATACCGCTAGATGGTCACTTCCCGCGCATCTCACTCATACATCACACGGTCCTTCCTCCTTCCCTCGGTGCTCCCTCCTCTCGCCTCACCTACGTTCAAATGTCTTCCCCTGAATCTCGAGTCTTTGATGGTATATTCTACGCCTGTATCGTCACACGCTGCCCCATGTTCATTTGCCCACTGAAATATAGTTTTATATTCAATTTCCTGTCATCACATTCGTTAACTACACAGGTACACGATTTAAGAACATAAGAAAATAGGGAGTCTGCAATAGGCCGGTTGGCCTGTGCATGGCAGCTCCTGTCGAGAGTTACTACCACTCTATCATCCCTGAATCTATCTAGCCTCCCTTTAAAACTTTCCAGCGTTCCAACACTTAATACAAAGTTGCTAAGCTTGTTCCACTCGTCCACCACCCTGTTTGTGAACCAGTTCCTTCCTATCTCCCCCCTAAACCTAAACTTATCCAACTCAAATCCGTTGCTGCGAGTCCTATCCTGCTCGGATATTATAAGAACTTAAGACCAACTATATACAGTATACATTTTTATTAAGCTTATAACTTTACATATACTGTTTCAGTTTATTAATTATACCCTCGATAGCAAAACTCAAAACAGATTTAAAACAGTAGTGAGTCAGCCTAAAAGACAAAGTGTCTTAGAATAAAAGAACTTTAAAGGGGAAGAGAAGAAAATAAGCCGGGAGGGGAGCGTCGGAGTGGAGTATTAACGCGCCCAAGCCGAGCCTCTTTGTTGTCAAGTACTCCTCCAGTAAGTGTCCTCACCGCAGCCACTGACGTCAGCTCCCTTCTTCTGACGTCAACTACACGAGCACGGTGATTGGCAAGGAGAGGCTATGACGTCAAACCTCTTTATACTTATTGGTCAAGGTTTAGTAGCGTCAGAAAATTCCATCGATAAATTACAAGACCCACTGCTTATTGCTGACGTCAGTGGTCCATAAACGGGCAACCAGAGAGTGTTTTCTGTTTAATTCTTAACTATCCAGCATTGTGTGTTGGTATCTGTCCAATGTTATCAAACAGGCTAAACCCACACTAAGTGAGTCACACAGATCTCAATAGCGAGGCCTTAGACTTTAAATAAATACTGTACATAAAACTTGACTGTGTAGGCAAGAGTGTGTTGTGGTGAGCGTCATCAGTGCGGTATAGCGTACTTGTGGCACGTCTGGGAGTCTCCATGAATAATTTTTGTGTATAGATTGTGAGGGTATTGTGTACGCCGCCTAGAGTGTTGTAGTTTTATGGTGGTCATGACAAAATGCTATATTTCGTGTATTATTACAGTTAGTTATTACTGTTAGACTATGTGGCTGACGACATCCTTTCTTCCTCAACAGCTCCAAGACATCGAGATGGAACTCCTGGAACAGAGGCGGGCGCCCCAGAAACGTTTCGTGGCCGAGAAACAGTCACTACCACAGCAGTTGGTCAGCCTCAAAAAAGTGGCCTAAGGCTCACAACTCTACCTGGTGTTCCTCATTTACTGACGACATTGGAGATGATGACGAGGAAGTGGAGTCACGGAGGAACATAAAATTTCTCTTCGACAACACGAAGACTGTGTCCTTGACGCAAGCATTATGGTATGGGAAGCATACCAGCAGCATACAATGCATGAGGACAAAATCAACTCAGCATGAGGACAACCCCACATAACACAGCTGGTGAAGGCAGCAATGATTGACGTCCTCACGTCATCTGGCCGTCACAGTCAGCTGACGATGAGGACCGTCACCCCTTGAGGGCTGCCTACGTCTGGAGGTTGCTAGCAGAACCTAGGACAGGTTTCCTGACGTGACAATAGCAGGCTTCTGAATGCCTGAATGATGTATAATCCATTTATTTGGTTTTATAATTCTAATTTTCCACAACCCTGAGGCGACTTGGAATCCATAAAATGTGTTCACACTCTTTGAACTTAGATAACTTTTGCATTTGATGCAAATTCGGATAATGTATTGTTTTGTTTGTAATGTTAATGCACACATCAGCCTTTGTAAATATTGGTTGTTACTTAGATCGAATCTAAATTCTAAGCAAAGAAACAATTTTGAGAAAATTCTTCAGTAAGAAAGTTAATTATCTAAATGCAGTTTACTCCCAACAACGACTGGCGTATTGTGCTGCCTTGTCAATAATATTGTCACATCAAGTAGCTTACTATTGACCGAAGAAAAGAGGTGTTTCTTTGCTCTGTAGGTACTGATGAATTTGTGCACGAATCTGAGCCCCACGCGCTGAGCCGTAGAGCCCAGATCACTTTGTCTTGACACAGTGGAACAGCGAGAGATTGGTGATATTTATCTCTCCAGCAGTCACCTCTTGTGTGAAGTAATCTTTTCAGTGATTCTCTCTCACTTTCTTTGGGCATGCATATACAGTACATACTCATCTTAATAATCTACATCCCATAACAAACCATATATGGAAATTTTATCAGAAAACAGCGCCTTAAAATTGCCATTTGGTGCATTATAAACGCAGTTCATATAATATCTTTTAATACTTTGAATTTCCACTCCAAGAGATGGAAGTAAAAGTTCTAATGTTTTATGATATACAGTATTCATCTATAAGACTCACCACCCACGGGGAAGCCAGTTAACTAAGTACTTGACAATATATGTGTATCATTAATATTTAATCATTATATTCAGAGAGTTCACTTGTGCTGGCCGACCCTTGGTGTATTGGCTGGGCATTTCACCCATAGGACTTGTTCACCATTTCTTCTGCCGATCTCTTCTCCTGTCTCTCAATATATATATATATATATATATATATATATATATATATATATATATATATATATATATATATATATATATATATATATATATTCCTTCCGTTCTCTCTTCTACTACTTGGAGTTTACCAGCAGTTTTTGTTATGTAACTTCAGTGTTTTCATTGAGTTGCGATCCTGAGAACAGAATCTTGTCCCAGTTCTCAGAAGAATGTTTGGTAAGATTAAGATTATTTCGTGCTACAAGTTGTACCTGTTTATATGAGTTACTGTTTACATTTAAATTTCTGATAAAAAAAAAAGAAAATGGTTGAATTTTGCCCAAGTGAGATTTTTACTGGGGTGGGCGGGCCTCAAGTGACAAATTGCCATGTCTTTCTCATACTTATTCTCTCATCTAATGGTATTGATCAACATTTATCTCGTGGGAAGGTGACCAGTGTACTTTACGTAGTGGTGACCGTAGCCTCAACATCGTGGATAGCGACGCTGAGGCTATTACCGACCTAGAATAGATGTACTGATACTGACTAGTGTATACTCTACCGGCAGATAAAGTCATTGTCATCTTCCCGCCTGTATCCTAAAGCTTCATTCATCTCTGCTGTCTCGATCCCGTTGTTTGGGCTCAAGCTGTTTTTATTTTGTCGAATCTTTTATCCTGTTCCGATGCCAAATATTATCATTATCAATATCCCACTATTAAATCCTTCTTCTAAGGATATTGAATTTGTACATTGTATGTACCATATCACCTCAAAAATCAAATGACTTATTTTTGTATAATAAAAATAAAAAAAATCCAACAAGAAACAATGTTATGGTGACAGGGCATTAGCGAGATCTGACACATATCATAGTATATGTTGGGATGCCAATTGGTCATTTCTTCTTCAAATTATAGGCCCTAATGCCTTTAAGCAAGGAACTCATTTCTTGAAATGTGATACTATGTAATTTCTCTGATATTTGTTAATAAACTTTTATCTTTTATTAATCTAGCATGTTATTGTTGGAGCCAATATAAAATAAGCCAGGGTGGTCTGCCAAAGAGAGAGGCCCTGTATATATGCGTCACATCTAGCGTAGCCACATTATGTTAGTCAGCAATTTTTACTTCCTACACAGTTCTTGTCTTTCATACTATTTTTCAATAAAATATATAAATATTTAATCATCTATTCGTAAAAGAGATTACCTCACACTGCCTTTATTACCGAGACACGCAAGTGACTGTGTACAAACAACAACAAATTATGATATAATTTAATAATATAATAACAATAATCCACTTCCACTGTTAAGAGACAACAGTACAAGTTATACATCAGTTACCGTTCTGATATGCAATCGACATGAAACTAGACAATAACTACATGTGAAGAAATATAAAGTATCTCAAAAAATAGTAGTCCTGGTTATTCAGACTTTCCTCAAAGACTGGGTAGGGTGTCCATACAAGCCGGAGGAGCCAAACTATTGAGGCAAAGAAGTCTAATATTGACTGAGCTGCCCATTTTCTACGGATTAAAATCACAGAATCGTCTACGAAATCCTGTGGTTTTTGAGTGATCGGCTAAAACAGTCAACAAAATTCCTTACTTAACTAGTTCTGTTGAGTTATTCCGAGGGTTTAAAAGTCAATATTAAGTCAACTGCTAAATGTGTTTGATACGAGACAGCTAATTTGACTTTCAAGGTCCTAAAGTTCTCTTGGTGAAAAAAAAAAACAGTGACTATTTGAATGATTGAAAATAATAAATACAGTAATATAAAAATTATAAAAGACAATACTGTATGTCTCCTTAAGAAAAGAAAAAAACGTTTGAAGGTAGACTATACTATTTTGAACCAAACAACAAAAGTAACCCTGCCCCCTCACTAAAGAATTCAAAACAATGGCCCGTATTATTTTTGATACGCTGCTTATCCAAACTTACAGCTGTAACATTTACCTACCTACTAACCAGCATATGAAAAAACAACAATACAGTACAGACCAAGAGTGCAGTCATGCAAAACACAAAACTGATCAAATCATTTTCACCCTTACAAAACTGTATATCATTATAGTACAGTTACCGGAACAGCAAAATGTATTCGTTATCTATACGGTAATTAAGAACCACTTGATTAGTTAGCCACGTGTAGGAGAGATAACTTAAAAGACATTACTCTGATATCAACAAGGTTTTTCGTCTGAATGTGCCTCCTACCTCCCAAAAGATACAAAAATGCCATCACAAGAAGAAAAACTACAATATCCTTCCCCCTACAACGATCACTACATGCAGAGGGTGTAGGGAGTGACAGTTTGGCAAAAGTTTTCAAAATCTAATTGCTTGGGTTGGATTATTTGTCTATCGGCCACGCTAATTCCGAATATGTTTGAGTTTTTTACATCATTGCATTAGAAGGTTTGTGGATACTTTTGGGTTTGGCATGAAAAACGCGAAAAAACTGTAAATAATAAAGGGACTGGCAATGTGGCACAACCTGTTAAAATCAAGTTATTGAATTGGATTATTCGACTACTGTGTACACTGGTTCATAATATGCTATTGTTTTACAACTCAATGCGCTACAAATTATGCCGATATTTTTGCTGCAAGTCACCACATACGTATATTTCGAAAACCAGGGCCCAATATTACCAACGGCGTGGATAGATTCCGTGGAATGAATTCAGGACATTCCCGCTCATGGAACATTACCAAACTCCGTATATGTGCCAATGGCAGGCCAATGGCAATATTTACAGAGTTTGTTGAGGCTCCCTGGACGGGAATGCCCTGAATTTATTCCACGGAATCTATTCACGCCGTTGGTAATATTCGTCCCAGGACTGATCAACGAATTCAGCCCAAGTAGCTTGACTTGGACAGTTAAGGACAAAATCTCAGTCCGTACTTTTGAATAAAATATTGTTCAATAGGTGGTGATATTGAAGTGCTGAAAGTTGTTTTTTCTGTGTTGTTTTGCAGTTAGTTCAAAGGGCCGCCACCAAGATGGGTCGTCCTAAGATTAGCAACACTCAGCTGCGCCAGGGTAACGATAAGGTGTTCGGGGTTCGGATGCCTCTGCCATCTAACAAGTTGCCTCTGAACAAGGAAGTTGGAAGTGCCCTGGCTTATGAAGCAGAAAACGAGAGGTTAAGGAGAAGAACAAATGCTTTTGATTATATGGATGCCACCAACAAGGTGACTGAGAAGGTACTGGATGTGTATAGGAAGGCCACTGTCCCCACTATCTCTGAAATCAGGGTGAAAATGAGAGTCCACGACCTGTGGAGGATGCGGAGGGAGACGATGATGATGAAGGGAAATGGACAGAAACAGAAAAGGAAGAAAACGAAGAACGGGAAGCTGAAGATGAGGTTCGAGGATATAGCTGAGAAGTTGTTTGATGTGGCAGACGACAGCAAAGTGCACGAACGAGAGAAAAGCTTCCTGGCAGCCCAGAGGAAACCGGGAAGGGAGGGCTGCATTGATGGCGTTGACAAAATTGTGACTGCCAAGCTGAAAGAAGAGAGGGAGAAGGAAGCGAAGAGGGCAAAGAAAAGGGCTGAGGAAGAGAGGAAAACTGAGAAGATGAGGTCAAAGAGTAAGGAGGAGATGGAGAGGATGTCGTGTAAAGTGTCGGCAGTGGATGACAGTGCTCAGGAAGAAGATAGTGATTATAAGGATGTCAATGACAATGAGTTCAAGGCTATGGTCGACAGGAGAGCAAGATCAGAGAAAAGGAAAAGGGAGAAAGAAGCCGAGGACAGGATCGGAGAAACTGCTGACAGGTTCAAGGTATCCAATGATGCAGTGGCTCACATCGCAAACACCATCAGAGCTGCAGACAACATCATAACTGAAGGGGACAAGTCTAAAGTGACTAACTGGAAGAAAGTGGAGAGAGTCAGGAAGAGGTCACGAGAACAGAAAAAAGAAAAGTTCAGGGGATTCCCGTCCAGGGAGCCTCAACAAACTCTGTAAATATTGCCATTGGCCTGCCATTGGCACATATACGGAGTTTGGTAATGTTCCATGAGCGGGAATGTCCTGAATTCATTCCACGGAATCTATCCACGCCGTTGGTAATATTGGGCCCTGGTTTTCGAAATATACGTATGTGGTGACTTGCAGCAAAAATATCGGCATAATTTGTAGCGCATTGAGTTGTAAAACAATAGCATATTATGAACCAGTGTACACAGTAGTCGAATAATCCAATTCAATAACTTGATTTTAACAGGTTGTGCCACATTGCCAGTCCCTTTATTATTTACAGTTTTTTCGCGTTTTTCATGCCAAACCCAAAAGTATCCACAAACCTTCTAATGCAATGATGTAAAAAACTCAAACATATTCGGAATTAGCGTGGCCGATAGACAAATAATCCAACCCAAGCAATTAGATTTTGAAAACTTTTGCCAAACTGTCACTCCCTAGTGTACAGAAGTGTGATCTACAAGCTACATAACACACACTGATCGATTTTTCCTACAGTAATTGTCGTATCCATGACCTTCTACAAAATTGTAATAAATAATGATAATATTAATTTCCAGTTTATGTTAATGCATCAATCAGGAGGCGGTACATACCACTCAGTTATTTACACACTTACTATGACACACACACTAAAACACACACAATATAATACACTTAAACTCGCCATGACACACTATAACACACCAAAAGACTCTATAACACACTCACCATGACACTATGAGAATCACCACAGAGCTACAAAACACTCACAATAGCATCCTCGCTATGAACACACTATGACACACCCGCAAAGACACACTTACCATGGCATATATACCGTTACACTCACCATGACAAATAAAGCATTACAAAATCATCATGACACAAACAGAAACACTAATATAATTGCACCATGATGCACTTATATCTACGTATTCACTAGGATACCCTCAACACAACACACTCACATTCACTCATGATACAAAATCAATGGTGAACTGTATTCCTCCTGACACACTTATTCTCACAACCGCCCCATGAAACACTTTACGACAACAATCCATGAAACAATCACCACATACTCAAAAGTATAGATCACTTTAATACAGCAAAGGCAGTAAACATGACTCTTTGTATCCGTAGTTCATTCGGGAGTAAACAAACCCTCACAAATGGTCTAAAATACACCTCAGGTTAGCCATCGAACCCAACGCTTATATTAGCCAGTTAGATTATGCATCTTCGTCACCTGGAATATACTGTATGTCACACCATCGTGGATCTCCTTAGTTAAAGTACAAATAAAACAAAAAACAATTCATTGCATATTAATATACAGTACACAATCCATAACACACACACACACACACACTATAATACACCTTTCAAGATTCACTTTACACAAGTTAAACACATTTGCGGGACTTCAGTTCATTGACACAATTATAATCTCAACACACCACGACGCAAGCCATCTCATTTACATCATCGAACAACACACTACGACTCGCTCACTAGGATAAAACTACCATAAACACCCTCATAATACACACCCCATGACACGATGACCATGAAACACTAGACACACTTATCATGGAACAATTCATGGTATCGTCCCCTGAAGTAAAACAAAAACAACTACCTAACCAGAAATCGTAGAATTTAAAATAACGTAAAAGCCCAAATGTTCTCAACCGTTTTCAATAACAAACTATGATCTGTCCCGTTATACAGTACAGTAGATGTTATACCTGATGAATCGCCATCACCGCTTATTTCACCTTAAGTTAAACCACCTAAACACTATTTGGAGGGTTGACATTAGTTAGCGTTAGGCAGTGGCGTATATACAGTATGTTCATGGAAAGGGGGGGGGGGGGCCAACTCCCGTGAGTCTCAAGATGAGGCTATGTAAAAGGATACCCGTTTCATTTTTCATTCACTTTTTAGCAATCATATTTTATTTACATAACAGTAAAATAAGCAGATATACAGTAGGTTTAATTTGCAGTTGCAT